TTATTCAGTCGAAATAAAATATGGAATTCCATTTGAATCACGAAGTTAGTTTATAAACTCGAAAATCGTGATACATTTCAAAGATTATTATCATCATCTAACTTCAACAAGAAGATACATTTTTCTCTACGAATTAATATTTATTTATTCACATCACAGTTCGAGAGAGACTTTTATTGCATGGAAAGAGGAACAGTAGTTTTTCCCTGAATTTGCTCGCAACAAAGTTGCTAACCTATCTCAATTCGCACAATAGGAATTTCCAAGAAAAATCCACTCTTTCTTATTCCGAGTGCTATAACAAGTCTACGTTCCATAGAATAGTTATCGATTTTTTGAATCGAATTTTTTCTTACTGATTGTAGAAAGCGCGTCTCTGGAAAAAAAAAACACTGACTGGTCTCAAAGCGAACTTGGATGTTCAGAGATTCAGAGAAGCGACAGGACAATGAAGTTTAAATAGTTTGACGAATTCAAAATTCAAAATCCCCCGTCTGTCCAAACGTTCGAACTTTTCAAGTTGAAAATGGAAAAGCTTTAAACTTCTTCAACTTAAACATCTGAGAAATCGCACGAAGCTCGATGTGAGAACTTGGTGAAACTTTAATCTATAAAAAAAAAAAAAAAAAAAAGGATGTGCTGCGAGGAATGTAGTATAGAAAGTTCAAGTATTATAAAATTATCAGCATATTCACGAAAAAAAAAATTAGATTGGAATATTGGTTGGTGAAGAAAGTTTGTTTAAATTTAACGTACAATTATAATCCTTCAAAGAGATTTATAATTTGATGATTATTTCAATCTTGAAAAGAAAATATGTCGAATTTTCTATTAATCTATAATTAAGAAAATTATAACGAACTTTTGGGTACATAAGGAACGACATTGTAACCTATCATTCTTAACGACCAATCATCCTGTCACGTTTTTACCCCATGAGAAATGCATCGAGATTTCGAGAAAATCCTAGAAACAGAACATTGGATAGTTCTTTTATTCGCATAAAATTTTTGGCAAAAACTGTATATTGTCACTGTGGGATGCTTTTAACAAATCGTCCGAAATGTTGCATTTTCGGATTCGTGGCATTAATCTTCAACTATAAACTTGCGTACACGAGGAAAAATTAGGAAAATTCCGACTTCCTTGCATGAAATAAATGCACGATCGTTTTAAATTCGTTGGAAACGGGTCAAGATCGAGGTAGTATGCATGGTTAGTAATTTAAATCCACAAAGTGAATATTTAAACGTTGTTTAGCTTTCCCCTTCCCTTTTTTCCCTATTTTCTGTACGTTTTATTTGCTTTTTAACCTCATAATGATTAATTCATAAATGATGTATAAATAAACGTAAATTAGATCGACATAGATTTGTTTAAAGTGGGTCAAAATCGTACTTGTATATATTTTTTTTCCTTATTTTTTTATTCGATTTTTCTCCTGCTTCCGTTTAATTGCTAATTAAAATTAAAACGATACAATTGTCTGGAATTTTATGAGGTGGAAATATTCACAATTTCGTGTGTGAAATTATTGAAAAGAAGATTAAAAATATGTAATGTACATATTTTTGTAATATATAGAGGATTAGCTATAAGATAGATTTAAATTAATAGAAAAAAGAAAAATATAGAATTAAAAGAAAATAAAATTAGTATTTAAAATTTTAATTATTTAAATTTTATTACAAATATTATTATAAATATTATATTTTCTAAATTGAAATAATTATAAAGAAATAATTTTAAATTATAATAATTCTACACATACTGCTTGTATTGAACTTGATGAAATTCAGTCTTATAAATAAAAGTCATTCTCGCCTTTGCCACTCACAAGTCTTTTGAGAATGTTTATCCTGCTATTCTCCATGACAAAGCAATGTCGGCATTCCTAGACTCGCGTATTTTCTAATCTATCAATCCTGTGACATCTGATAGTATACGAGTCACTAGTCATCCTTTGACATGTAGATTACACATCTTCACAAATTCTCTCTGGTTATATGGACTTCTGTTGTAAATCGTACGAAATTTAAATTACAAAATCAATCATTTTTGGCAATTTCTTACAAAATATATTTTATTATTATAATATTTACTTATAAATGATTAGACTAGTAGTATAAGACTATAATTCATCAGTCAAGTAAAGTAAAATAAATAGTATCGATCAGTCACTTTTCAGACTAATAGAATATGATAGCTATGCATATTCTGGTAATGCAAATAGTATATACATTAAATAATAGGAAAGCAAATAATAATTGTACAATTATCGGTATGTTGTAAATTTCTTCAATAACTTCAATTAATTTTACAATTAATATTCGGTTCAATATCATTTTTATATATATCATCTCATAAAAAATTTTTATTTATTAACCATTAATTATTAAAATATAATTATGACAATTTTCAAAATAACTTTAATATTTTTTATTTTATATTTAATTTTTTACACTAACAAAAACTGTTCTTTTTTCAGAATCGAGCAACTAAACAACTGAACTGTTTATTTGCAAATAATTTAGAAATAGAATTTAGAATAGGAATCTTTTCGAGAAAAATTTTCGCTGCAACAACGAATCGTTTAAATCATCGTTGACGTAGAACATTTGGAAAAAGTTAAGCAAAAACGGTGTGCAACACGATTTGAACAATGAAACGTCAAGCAAGGACGTGAGATTTCCATACATTTTAAATAATTCCCACATCTCGGCTTTTGCAGCAAGGTGATTTTACATTCAAATCTTCAAGCCACACACAAACCACGAAAAAATATTTTACCGAGATTCCAGGCTGGAGCTGGAGATTCGTCCAATTTCTAGTTTGCGTCTCCTTGTTTTCCTAGACGACATTAAAAAAATATTTCGTCGTTGCACGACGAAAGACGGGAACAATTTGTTTGGATCTACTCCCACGGTGTTCTGAATCAAGATATTCCACGAAGATATTTCTCGTTCCACTTTTTCCATCTTCTTTTTCTTGAAATCAGCCATTCTTTCTCCGTACCTTTTGTTTCATATCTCAGAAATCTAGTGCATTTTTAGACTAACATAAAAAAACGCATATAATTGCCATTTATGAATCTAATCAATTAAAATTCTCTGAAGTTGAAGTGAAAAATATTAACTCCTTAAATATTCCATAAAATTAGAAGGAAAAAGGATATGTTTTTAATCAATTTTGTGAAGAACACTGAAAGAAAAAAACAATGTATATGAAAGTAAGGAAAAAGTAATAATTTTAAGTTAACAAATTGAATAAAAAGAATAAATAATAAATAAATAGAAATAGAAGCAGAATCTTTTGTAATTCACTGAAAAAAATAATGATCTTAAATAAAAATTGAAATAAATTGAATAAAAATAGAGAAGAGAAATTTCTGATTTAAGAAAAAAAAATGTAATAATCTGACAATCGGGAAAAAAGTGTTCTCCCGTTCGACGTAAAATTATAAAATTTTAAAAGGTAGTATATACGGCAAAAATGCATAAGACATTTTGATTTTTTCGCAGTGGATTTTACGCAGCTCGCCCCGTGAATTGCAAAAATTGTTATAACATAAAACCAAAAGTAGCCAAGTTGTGGAGATTATCTGGCTATTTGAAAGCTAGATTTTTCTGCCACGATTTTTCCCCCAACGATGAGGAAAGTTTTGATTGGAACGACACCCGTTTTCATACGAGGCTTCATTAGACCTCCGAGTTATTAATTTCCGGAACGTTGACGACATTCACAGGAACGAATTCATCATTGCGGCCAACTCCGGCCGTAACTTTCGAGCAACTTGAAAGTGGCTGAAAATTTAATTAGATATTGATCTCGAAACATTCGGTACAATTAACTGTTAGTCAACTATATATTCGACATCTTTTTTTAAACATCGTATTTAAGGAAATGAATTTTATTCAAAAAATAAATTTCTTGGAAAATAAACTTGGAATGAAAAAATTTGAAATATAAGAAGAACATTAAATGTAAAAGAAAAAAAAGAATCTTCAATAATTCAAAGTATTTATATCTTTCATTTTCCACTCTTATTACCTATTCTCAATATTTCCAAATAAACACGCACATCACTTACGAAGAACTAAATTTTAGTCATCGAAAAATAAAACTATATAAAACTATAAGAAAGTTATATAAATACCAAGCAGTTCTACTTCCAAAATCTACCAAGAAAATTGTTAACAAGTATTCTTCTCAATCAAGAAATCTTTAACAATAATTAATACTCTGATTTGATCGTAGCAGTTGATTAATGACGGTCTCGAGTAAATTCATCAACGTGAACCAGATGGCCAATGAGCATCAGTATAGGATAGACACCCAAGGGTGCCGCGTGACCCGAATGAGGAATAAAAACTCCATCACCATTTTTATCTTCCGTCCACGTATTTCGGAAACGTGGAAACTCGCGAGAGATCGGTTGAAAGTTAATGGCCGACGTAACAACTCCGATGCGTTAATAAACCGGTTGCGGTTTATATTTAACCAGGAACATTGAAACGTGGCTGGAAGCTTCTTTCTTCTTTATTGAGAAACGTTCCAACGTGAGAGAGATTGGCGAGAGGGTGAGAAAATATCGAGAAATATTTAAGTATGCGATGTATCTGGTGGAAAAATATTGGGGCAAGAGCGAAGAAGGAGAGTGAGATAAATGGTGGAGCTTTGGGAGGGAAATGGAGGGTAAGTGTTTTAATCTCCAATAATTTTCGAGAAAATTCTATTCTAATTTTTAATTCACTCTCGTGACACGAAAATTACGTTTCACTTTATTTTTGTTGTTGTTGTTGATACAACGTATGAATATTAATGAAATATTGTATAGATATTTTTATTGCAAATGAGTTTATTAATGTTCTTTTAATTAATTGGAACGTAAAATTCGTAGAATAAACGAAATTTATTTTTATCTTTCGAATATTTGTTACTTTTCAATACAAATTAAAATCCTGATTTATCGTGAAACTATTCGTTTCAAAGATTTATAGAGATCATTTCTTCAGGTGTTTCATCAGGTTTTTCTTTCACTAGCATTTAAGGAAATATATTATCATTTAAAACTCTTGAGCCAGTTACGGTTTAGGAAAACAGAAGCTAAAATTAGCGCAATTTAGTTAGAAGTCTGTTCAAATAAATCATTCTGCCTTGTTACATCTTTCTTCCTCTGTATCCAACGACTTAACGCATTCCTCTCTAATCTCACATAACAATATAAAACAATTTTAATTGCATTTCGACAGAAGAAATTGACAAAAATGACAATTCTTTTAAAAAATAAAAAACAGAAATAAAAAGAAGAAAATTTTTTACATGAAATGAAAATAACAATTTGAGAATTGTTTTCAATGTTTTAATAATCGCATCGTTAAATTTGCAAAATTGTGACGCTATTTTGAATTTGTTACTTTGATAATATGTGTAGCAAATGTTCAAAGAAGTTTCTAAGCAATTCTTTATGAACATTTGCATCGTAAAGTGATAAAGCTTGTGAAAAGTTCATTATTGACTATTTAACTTTGCAACGATTCAAAATATACGATTTCTATTCTTTCATTTCGAATGTGGCATATAAAAATTTGAATCTATATTCAATATTTTTTTCATGGCGTACGATATAGTTTATTTAAAAAGTTATATTTTCGACAATATTATTTGGAAAATTTAAAGTAAGCTTTGCAGAACTTTTCTTCTTCTTCTTTTTAAATCCATATATTCTTCATACCATAAAACTTCGTATTTTATTTAAGTAGAAAATTTATAGAATTTAATTTGATTTTTACTATCTATGGATCATTCGAGTAATTATCGAAGAAAATTTTATATCCATTGGATATAAAATTATATTGGAAGAAGAAATTTATTAAATTCGTATTTACTCTCATGCCTGACCAATGATAGATCATTTTTACTTAGATGTTAAAACTTTGATTCATTTTCTATTCTAGATTCCAATAACTTAAAATTCAATATACTTTTATATCAATTTCGATATATTATATTGACGATGTACATCGAAATTTCTATGAAAAAACTCTAAAATTTTAATATAAAATTGAAAACATAATTAAATATATGACGCTGAAATTTCATCAAACATTTATTTTACTGATTTCGACCAACGGATCGTTTATCAAAAAGGGAACTTTGTTATCTGTGCGTCATATGCTTTCAAGGGTGGAAATATAAATATTTAAAGATTCGTTCAATAGTTAGGAACAATGCCACATTCTCAAAGGGATTTTTACTCTCGTTAGGTCTCTTCCTTTACGCAATATTTACCCTCCGGAAATTAACCCGCATTTTAAATCTACGCGCGCATACAAAATTAAATTTATATAGAATATTCCCTTCGTCTCTCTCGCAATCTTATTCAAAGAGAGAATTAATTATACATACAGTGTCTACGCAATTAACAAATTTAATAAACCAATCAATAAAAAATTTATTCTCAAAATATTGCTCCTTTAAATTTCCAAGGAAAATTATTAATTCTTAGAAGAAAATATATCTGTGAAATAAGCTTTAATTTTTAATCATTCTTAATTTCTCACAAAAATTTTTTTAAATGCTTCGATTTCATGGAAATATTTTTATTAAGAGTACTTTAACGAAACATTCATTATTAGACGTAAAATTCGCGTTAGACACGAAAATTTAGTCAAGTCTTCATTGAACAATTCATCAAGGTAAAAAATAAATAAATGAAATAAAAATAATCCAATAAATAACCAATTAAAAAATATTCAATCATTTTTACATAGAAGACGTAGAAAAATTCATCCTATTTATCGTTTCAACCTTGTTTACATCCTCAACTTGATCTCTCTTTTCAAAGCTGTCAGTCTGTGCACAAATGCGAAAATTTCACAACTTTGCATATCTGTCGTAAAATGCTCGAAAAACTCGACTCTATTAAAAGTTACTTGCATTGGAGTGTCAAATCAGAAATTAAAATTAAAGTCTATTACGATATACTGATCCCCGTATAATTTCATCCATCAGTTTTTATTAATCCTCCGGAATAACGAGAATTAAAGTTATCGTTTCATCCATTTATCCGTATATCGTATTTTTCGCATTCCCTTTCATTGATTCGTTTACGAGAAAGTTTCAAAAAAAACATCGAAAAAAAGAAAATGAAAGTCTCGACATTCTCAATTGCCGACATTCGTAATTTTTCCACTGTTTTATATATCGCGTGTGAATTAAAAAACATTCATGCAAAATGGTGAAATGCTTTTACGCGACAAAATAGATTCTGCTACGTGTGTTTTTTCTTTCTTGTTCCTTGTTTTCGAGAGAAAGAGAGAATTGTGCAGTTTAATGTTGCGAGTACGCTTTTGGAAAAGTTGTTGAGTGTTGTTCACTGTTGGAAAGAAGGGGAATTTTATTGATGTAAATTCCTCTTTAACCCTTTTTGTACTTAAAACAGGGGAAATTTTAATCCGTATTTATGCTTAGTCGATATCGTACAGTTTATTTTAGGTTGATGTAAATTTGTATCCGATCACAAGTTTGAAATTTAAAGTAAACGTTTATTTATTTTTACAGTAATTTTACGGTAAATAAGATTCATTTTTTTTATTTTTATTTGTTTTATTTTTTTTTCAGTTTATTTTATGAAAGT